CCATTTTCACCCTCCTAGAGCTTTGTGGAAGCCTCCAAAGCCCAGGAAGACGAAAAATGCCTCCCTGCGCCATGGTGCAGGAGGCCAACTAGGCCATGCCCACCATGGCCATGCCCACCCAGCAACCTGGCCGAGAACCGGTTGTTAAAATTTTTGAAGCCCACTCCTGGTGTGATGGCAGAACCAAACTCAGGATGCCTTTGTATTTGGGAAACTTAGTTCAGAACTGACAGAAATTTTAATAGTTGGGAAAGCTCAGGGGTGGGATTCAAAATTTTTAACAACCGGTTCTGTGGGCATGGCTTAGGTGGTGGGTGTGGCTTGGTGGTAATGTGACTGGGTGGGCGTGGCTTGGTGGTCATGTTATTGGAGGGGCGGGGCCAACTCAATATCACTCACATCAAGGCATGCATCTCCTCGCCTGGCCTCTCATGACTGTAACAGTCGTAAGTGTGAAAAATGGTCATAAGTCACTTTTTTCAGTGCCATTGTAACTTTGAATGGTCACTCCACACAAGCAAAGTACCAGCAAAGGCGGGGAAAAAAACTCCAGAGAAGTTCCAGAGACAGGAAGTCTAGTCCTGCCAAGAATGTAACAAAGGGTTAATGGAGAGGCAGTTTCTGTAAGCAACACCAGAATGTTTCCTTCCTGCCTTCCTTACAGGATTAGGCCAGTAATTTCTTCTAACAACCGGTTCTCCGAACTGCTTAGAATGTTAACAAACGGTTCTAGCGAATAGGTGCAAACTGGTAGAATCCCACCCCTGGGAAAGCTCCAGAGAGCTTTAAGATAGTTGAAGCATTTTTTTCTCTGCTGTAGCAATGTTCATTTGCACAAGTGCATAACATCTGCTGTTTGAAGGATTGAATTGACATAATGTTCCTTAAAATTTTAAAAACTTAAAAGAAATATACAAAATATTTTCTGGTCTGAATGAAGAGAGGAAGGGTAAGGAAAGACACTTCCCTGGATGTCTAATATCTGTACCAGTTTGACAAGGAGAGAGAGGGGAAAAACATAAATGCTTCCCAGGTTGGGAAGATTTTTTAAAGCAGTCACACTAATTTGTTGCTTTTAAAATTCTTACTGCTCTTTTGTTCAAAAGAACACATACAGAATATGGAAATGGGAAATTAATTCAAATTTATCCAATAAATTATTCAAAAGGAATTACTCACTTGGTGTGAGTATTTTCATTAAATCAAACTCAAACCTGTCAAACCAATGTATGGCGTTAAAAAGCCTGAAAAACGCACACTTGCACGCACACGGTCCTTATTAAAAGCAGCTCTTTAGTGGGGGAAAAACATTTGTCAGTTAACGAAGATGTGACAAGGAATGATTTGTTTAAAAAAGATAAACTTGAAAAACATATGCCCTAATGGTAGCAATATCGTCTGCAGATATATGCTTGGTTCAGGAGAGGGTGGTTTTTTTGGTTTTAATAATGGCTTCAGTCCTATTGAACATCTAGCTGTCAGAAAGCAGTGGTAATGCTTTTTTTTTTTTAATTGACTATTTTCCAAAGACCGTTCTCAATGGTGCCTACCAAGAGGACTTCAGCAGAAGGAAAGGAAGTTGGCAAGGAAAACCAAAGAATGGTCTCCTCCAAGGAGGACCAAGAATGGTGTCGAGCCCAAAATTGACATATATGTAGCCATTTTATTTAGCTCTATATTCTAATCATATATTCCTTTTCTTTCTTACTCTTTGCTGATATAAGCGGGGAGGGTTTCCGGCTCACCACATTCTTAAAGTGGGAGGAGTGGTTAGATAGTGAGGATTGTTTTGGCTGTGTGACTTTCCTTCCCGTGGGAATAGAAGCTGTCCCTCCTGAGACCTGGAGGTGGAGATTGAAGACACCAGGCAATGTTGATTTAATTCTATTGGGGAATGTGACTTTGGTGGGTTGTTTCTAATTTACAATATTATGTGATGTAATTTTGGTTTGTGTCAGATCCAGAATTACAACAGACTTTGCCAATAAGATGCTTACCTAAATAAAAGACATTTGTTTTGGAAGATGGATTTTGCTTATTTCTTTTTGAATGGATTTTTATCACTTGGAAACTTGACAAATGGTCTCCACGGGGAGGGCTAACAATGGTCTCCACAAAGGAGAACCAAGAATGGTCTCCACCAAGGAGGACCAACAATGGTCTCCACCAAGGAGGATCAAGAATGGTCTCCTCCAAGGAGGATCAAGAATGGTCTCCACCAAGGAGGACCAAGAATGGT